TTTCTTTCTCATCTTTTTAATGACTTCTTGCTTTCTTCATGGATGATGCTCTTGATGTCACCCCCACAATTCTTCTGGTTTTCGGTCACTGGTGTTCAATGCATCAAATCTATTCTTTAGATGGTCTCTAAATTCAGGAGGGATGTATTCAAGGTCATATTTCGGCTCTCATGGACATTTTTTAAAATTGTCTTCATCTTTAAGTTGAACTTTCTTATGAGCAGTTCATGGTCTGTTCCACAATCAGCTCCTGGCCTTGTGGCTGAAGATACTGAACTTTTCCATCACATTTTGCCACAGATGTAGTCAATCTGATTCCTGTGTACTCCGTCTGGCGAAGTCCATGTTTATAGCTGCCGTTTGTGTTGTTGAAAAAAGGTAGTTGCAATGAATAAGTCGTTGGTCTTGCAAAATTCTGTCATGCGATCTCCGTAGTTATTTCTGTCACCAAGGGCAAATTTTCCTACTACCGGTGATTCTTGTTTCCAACTTTTGCATTCCAATCACGGTGCTAAGCAACACATCTTGATTACATGTTTGGTCAATTTCAGACTGTAGAAGTTGATACAAATCTTCAGTGTCCTCATCTTTGGTTTTGGTGGTTGGTGCGTAAATATGAATCATAGCAGTGTCAGGATTTAGACACCCAGAAAGAATCTGACGAGACCAAGACTCACGTTCGAAGAAGAAAGTTTGTTGACAGAAATAATCTGCCAGGATGCCCATGAAACTGGCGCAGCAGCCAAGGCAGCAGAAAGGCAGGTTCATGTATTTCAAAACCTAGAACTAGTTGGGGATGGAAATTTACTCATGCACAGGTGGCAGCCTACTTATGCTGACAAACTGTTCTGTTGTGGTTAGGGGTGGTTGTGGGAGTGGTGTTCAGGGAATGGAGAGGTTTAAGTTTCTGTTTCCCCAAAATGGGCTAGTGACCAGAAATGAGATGGAGGAACTTAAAGGGACATACAACATGGAGGAACTTAAAAAGGAGATACCTATCGAGTAGTATTAGTGGGTCTTCCTTGTGGGCGTATGGGTATTATTCTATCCCTGACAGCATTATACTTCAGGACAGATCTCGAAACATCCTGTGATTATGAATGCCATGGCATTCCTCTTCAATTTGCCATATGGTTGTCGGATTCAAAATGCCCGTCCATTTCAGCTCACTAGTGCCTAGGCCATCAATCTTTACGAGTTCCGTTTCTTTTCTGACAACTTCCAATTTTCCTAGATTCATACTTTGTACCTTCCATGTTCCAATTATTTATGGATTTTTGCAGCTGTGTCTCCTCAATTTGAGTTGTGCCATGTCAGCAAATGGATGTCCTGAAAGACTTACTTTATCCGTATCATGAAGGTTGGTTCTACTCTGATGAGGCAGCTCTTTCCCAGTCCTATTTTGAGTGCCTTCCGACCCAAGGGGCTCCTCTTCCTGCACTGTGTCGGACAATGTTTCCAGTAACGTATCAGACTGTTTCTGCTATTCATAAGGCTTTCACTGGCCAATTTTTGAGAAATGGATGGCCTTCTCCTCTTTCCTAGTCTGTAAGCTGCATTGATACCTGTGCACCACGTGCAATTCCACTGGCATCTGAAACACCAGGGGCACAGCCGCAAGCCCCACAGCAATGTGCAAGCCCCGCAGGATGACAGACTGACAGACAAGTTTGTCTCCCTTAGCTGTTGGCAACCTGTGCCCTCCCCTTACCCAATTCCTACCTGGAACCTGCCACTTTGTGGTCCCTAGCCACTCCCTCCCTTTCCTGGCTCCAGGGGGCTTGGGGCCTAGCCTTGCCTTCCACCCCTTTTTACCCAGATATCCTGCTGCTTCGGAGTTCCCCGGCAGGCTTAGAGGGTGGAATAAGGAATTGTTTCAGGAATGGAAAAAACATAAGGGAGTCCCTTTATGTTGGTATCCCTCATCTGCAGAGAAGTGAAAGGACATCTAGGTACGTGACCCACAGGCCTCAGGGCAACAGAGAAATCAGCCCCCAGCTGGCTGTCAGATGGTGAGCCGGGCAGTGGGATGCGACAAATCCAGCAAGTGGCAAGGTTATGCCCAAAGGCAGTAACAGCATTTGGAAGCAGCACTGGGGTATCTGGGGGTTCATCGGAGGCATCCCCAGTAGGGAGGCATCCCCAGCAGGGCTAAGGTGGCCGACCAAACGCCCATCAGCATCACTGTGGTCCCCTACACCCAGCAGACCAAACAGGTTTTACCCAAGGGAGGGGCAGGGTCCCAGCAGGACCAAATGTCAAGGTTACTGACAGAACGGTTGAGGACACACGTAAGCCAGCAGCCCAAAAAGGGACTCACGGTTACCTCAGTCCCGTTACTTATGTGTATCTTTTATGGGTTCACAGGTGTGTTGCTCCACAGGCAGGGACTGGCATTCCTGGATGGAATTAGGAAGGATTTTATTCTAGATGCAGTCCTGTTTTTTGTTTGTTTGTTTTTATTGTGACTGGATGAAAAGTTTATAGAACAAATTCATTTTCCACAAGCAGTTCACATACATTTTGTCTCATGACATTGATGGCCATCTCCCACAATGCAACAGCTCTCCTCCCACTTCCCATAGTTACCTCTTCCGGGTGTCCTTCCCTCCGTGCACTCCTGCCCCCTGAGCTGTGCAAACACTGCCCTTCTATTCTCCTAGGACTGATCTCTCCACGGAGTGCATCTACGTATGTAAATGTTCAGCCCATATGCCTATTGTTTGAAGCCACAAGAGTGGGTTCAATTGCAGACCTGAAGGGCAGCCAGGGGCCACAGTCTCAGGGGTCCCAGCAGTGGAGCCATGGTTTTATCCCTCGTAGTTTTACAGCTTCAGGAGCGGGTAACGTAACTTGATAGTCTCTTCCACTGTCAGCTTAACTTCAGGTGGGATGTCACTCAGCTGCCGGCTTCCTAAGGGACAGAGTCAAAGACGGCCTCTGAGCTGCTGACAGAGCTAGTGGCTGCAAGATCCCGAGAACGTCCTGCCCAACAGTGGTCGTGGTGGACACTGGCACCATCAAGAAAAGGGCGAGAGTGATTTTTCCCAAGGGCACAGAGGGTTTTGTGAGCCTTTTATTTTGGGGTCTTCCTTCCACCCTGCAGGGCAGTCAGTTACTTGGTATGGCTTTTCTAGCCCGTCTTTCTAACTCCCACTGGATTACGGGGTTGCTGTTGTTGTTATGTGCTGTTGAGTCAAACCAACTTACAGCGACCCCTCCTTGGGTTTCCTAGGCAGTATCACTATGGAAGTAGATTGCCCCATCTTCCTTCCGAAGATTATGGGGTAGGGCCATGCAAATAAGGTATATAGAGCTCTGATGTTGAGATTGGTTAGTTTTGTCACTCTGCCAGGCTTAAAATGAGCCCTCCAAGGTAGTGCCTAAGGCATTTGACTGGTAAGTAGAAGGCTGGTGGTTCAAACTCACCAGCCACTCCTCAGAGGGAAGGTTGGGCAATCTACTTCTGTAGTGATAGTGCCTCGGAGACCCAAGCGGGGGTTGCTAGGAGTCGAGTCGACGGCAGTGAGCTTGTTTTTTCCCAGAGGCCATCAAGAGAGGAGAGGGGTTGAAGTGGAGT